GATACAAAGTTATCGATGTCGCGACTAGTCGGACAGAAAATTGCCATCGTCGAATGGCTGACAGAAGCACACCACGATCCGAAACGCTGGTGAATTCTGGACCAGAACACGCCCACTTTTTCGCGATTCCAATTAAGGAGACCCTTTTGCAGGGTTTGCTGGGTAGTTGATTGGCGTCGGCTAGACAGTGGTGGGAATTAATGAAGACAGTTGGAGGTGGAGTACGGCGCGCTGTGTCGGCGACCAAATCACTTTTGCGCTCGTACGCGTTGCGGAAATCACTTTGACGATTGCCGCCTGCGAATCATGTTCGATATCGATTGCATTCCTCGCAATCAACCCCTGAATATAATATTCTACATTTCTCCGTGATTATAATTTTCTTCGTCACAATGTAAACGGACGGCGGTCGCATTGTCCAGCCACATTTCGACGCGAGAAAAGACGCCGTTATACTCTGTCGCAATACCGGACGAAAAAAATATGAGTCTTCAATAATATCGTTAATGCAATCTACTTTGACAATCGTGTAGAAAGAAAGTATGTGTGTGTGTGTGTTTTTGAGAGAGAGAAAGAGAGAGAGAGAGACATGACTATGGAGCAAGGCTCGTCGATGTCTATGCGTAGTACTTTCGAATCTCGGACGGGTCACCTAGCGGAGGTAGCATACATATTCATGCCGAGTGTTTACCTAAGGCCAGAAAAGAACTGTTAAGAACCGAGGCGAGGTATCACATTAATACGAGGGTACTCGAGGGATCCTACGAATACGTAGGTATATGCAAATGACACCGTTCCCTGGGGGGAGACCCTTAAATCACACATCGGGGCTACCAATAACACGTCCGGCCGGTGTGTACGAGAGACGCTCTTTGTGCCCCGATTGGAGGGAAAAGAAAGAGGAGGCGAAGAAGGGAGATTCGAGGAGCAAAAGACGATCTTACTTTATAGCTCGTGGTATCGGAGTACTTGCGAGAAAGAGAGAAAGAGGGAGGGAGGAAAGGAGAGAGAGAGAGAGAGAGAGAGAAAGGGAAAAGAACGTCACAACAACGAAAGGGTCGAAACGACGGAAAAAGCCGGCTTACGGTCAAACTTTCGCGATTAAGAGGAAGACGCGAGGAGCCTCTCCGCCGGTTCTCTAACCCGGCGGTGGCAATAATCGGGCGAATAAAAAATCCCCAGTACGGCGAGGAACGGCCGGAGCGGTGAAAAAAAGTTAAACACGTTTGACTACGTGTTTCGGCGGAAACGGCGATAAAGCTGCCCTCGCGTATCGCCTCCTCCGCGTACATTACCCGCGTTGTCGACGACGAGGACAGTCTCCGAAGAGGATCTCTCTCTCTCTCTCTCTCCTCTCGTCTCTCCCGAGCGACCAATCGAACTCAGGGCGAAAGGAGAACGCGGCGTTTTTATCACGAGTAATTCAGGCTGCCACGTACATATACGGTCTCTAATAAATTCGTGAATGGCCATGCCGCGAACGAAACGTTCTATACGCCCACGCGCACTTACACGCGTTCCATATGCACGCACACATGCGAACGGGGCGTCCCTCGTGTGCGCGTTCTCGGTCGTTGTTGCGCTTAGGGTACCGGATTCCCGACCGATGGGGGTACCCGGAGAAAAAGGGAGAGAGAAAAAAGAGACGAAGAGAGGGAGAGAGAGAGGGAGCGGATATTATCGCCAAACGTTAATTTGGCCGTGGCCCGGCCTACCTTCCAATTTTCGGGCCCTTACACGCCCACTTACGAGATTGTCCGTTAACGCTCCAAAACGTCGGGACGCGTACATTCGATGCCCGCGTTTCCCGACGTAGCAGCGTCGTGCGTGTCTCTGCGTGTCGTGACAGGCGTGACTTGTGCGCGCGCGTGCTCGTGAGAGGCTTCGTATCAAATTTGAGGATCGTATACTTTGACAAATTTGCGGTCAATCTACCCGTCGCGAATACCTCCACCCGGCACGTAATTATACATTATACCTGTCATATAATTCTGTGCTCGAAGACAGAAGGGAGCAATTCCAAAATTATCGGCGTTGACATATTTATATCGTTACGGTCAGGAAGACGGTCCTTATGAGACGGAGAATTGATTCAAGCTGTTGAACAACAGTTTTGAGAATTTTTCATCTCTTTCGTTTCTCCTCGGAGGAAGACGTCATGCGGGGAAAAATATTTCGCTGGCAAATTACAACAAATCGCTTGTTATTATAACGACAGCAAACATGTTTGTCATATGGGAAAAATAATTTTGTTGTCGTAGCAAAATGTCGTTGCGACAGCAATAAAATTTAGTTGGCATAATTACCAATTAATATTCTTAACGAATCTTACAAGTTTTATCGTTGTCGTAACAACATCTCGCTACAATAGCAGAATTATTTTTTCCGTGCGTGTATAACAATTTGCTGTGTCGGCAGAAAATTGTTCTCCGTGCACTTTCACAATTTGTATAGTTTATATGAATTATCATGAAGGTAATTCCAAAGAGAATTCTTGCGAATTCTACCAGATCGGACAAAACCTTTGAGATTTATGTATGCGAAAAAGATAAATGGTTACGATTTACGGCTTATATCATCCGTGACTGACTCTACATGATCCAATCGCGGAAGCAGCACGTGGGATCGCATGGGAATACGAATAAGCAACAAAAATATATCTATGTACGGTTTCACTATGAGCGTTTTAAGCGAGCAGCGTGTACGAAGCGGCGACTCGGATAAACGTTAAAACACATAAGAACATGTATACGAACACGGGAGGAAGAGAGCGAGTGAGAGAAGATAAATACGCGCGTAAAGCTCGGGTGCGCTCATGATGCGCGCGCAAAAAGTAGATACATCGGACGGTGCATGCATCTATAAACTATAAATGCATAAAACGCGAACGAGAGAGGACGAGACACGGCGTAAGTGAAGAACGGCAAAATGAGAAGCGGCATAATGCTGAACGTCCGCAGCGAGCGCGCTAAAATATATTGTTGTTCGGTGAAATCAAATCACCAGCGAAAGAACGAGAGATGTATCTGCGTACGTATACTGCATAATAGTTACATTTCCAAGCACATTATCGGAATAAATATCGCCGGATGATCTGCATCGATGTCGATAAAATAAACGAATAAATTCGTAAGTAGAAATAAATGATAAATGTCGCGGAAACTCGTGTTCAAGCTAGGAAATTACCTCGCGACACATTTTCATGCGCCACACATCGAACGGTAGTCTCTCGTTCTCGCCGGATCTCGCGCGAAATGCGAAATAGGTCGACGCGAAACAGGGCAGACGTCGCTGTACTTGCGTTACACCTCGACTTACGGAGCGCGTATTAGCGTGTGCGAGAACGCTCGCGGTAAGAACCGGTTATATAGGGAACCGTCCGCCACCTCTTCTTCTCTCTACACCTTCTCCCCATTCTTCCTCTCCTCATCCGCCGACCTTTCATTCCTCCAACCTCACCGAGTATATCCCGGCAAACCCGCCGCTACATAATGCGACGGCGCGCGTGTGTGCACGCGTGTAGCGGCCGCCAGCTAGTGCATACCCGCACGCGTAAATGTACGGGGTGTCCGAGCTAAGATAGCGGGCACCAAGCTGAGAAGTGACGACGATCGTTTCTACGTGGAAGCGTCGTGGAAGCTCCCTTGAATTACGAGCGATCGGGATTTACAGTCTCGGCGAGTTCTCTCTCTCTCTCTCTCTCTCTCTCTCCGCTCGGACAACGATTCGTTTCTCGACAACGAATTCATTTTCCAGCTGGTTTTTGTGAGAACCTCACGAATATCGATGTAAAGGTTCACCCCAGGTGTCTGATGTTAAAAAAAAAAGACATGGCGCGCTAAGGGGGTCCTGCGATGTTTTCACCTCTCTCAACAAAAAGATCCTGATTAAAGGGAATTGTGGACTATTTCTAGAACACCCTGTATGAGAGCCGGTACATACACTTGCGCGATGCTTCGACACCATGGGCGCCTGCCTATCTGACGTTGGGTGCTTACGAGGGCGAGTCCGCGTCTTTTCTTTTTCTCCCTTTCCTGACCTGGCTACCGACAGGCCGTAGGGACGCGCTGTGATCCCCTCCGTTCCTCTCGCACCCCGAGAGTCCACCGGAGGCGTCGGCATCTCGCGAATGTTTCACGGATAGTCTTGGAACTTGCTGCGCGGAAACGGCGGTATGCCGTTGCATCGCCATAGTCTGCTGGAAATATGATCTTCCTTGAAAAGCGCTCGTCGTAGGCTCCGGAGACTTGAAAAAACGGAATCTCTGCGAAACGATTGGGGATCCGAAGAAGCATTTGCAATAATAATCTTTTTTTTATATAAATATCATTCAAACTTATCTCAGATAATACATTTTATTATATACATATATATATTTTTATTATATATATATATATATATATATATTGCTGTTATAGAGCGAAACTATCATTGCTACTGCATATTTATTGTGACAGCGATAAAATTTAGTTAGCATAACCAAATTAGCGAATTATTCGTAATTAGAACGGAAATGTCTATATTGCCAGGATAGACAAATTATTCTGAGCGGATTTATCCTTAAAAAATACTAATTTACTGTTAGAACTAAATAGTATTTTCCCACATTTATTAATTTGTCGTTACAGCAAAATAATTTGTAGATTTAGCAAAATATATTTAGCGAATTAGCACACTTAACAAATCGTTTTGCTGTCAACGTGGTAACTGACATATTTTGTTGCGACAGCAAAACATTTGCTGTGCTAACAAATCCTCTCCGTGTGAATATTGCATGAAATTGTGTAGAAAATTATATGTAATGTTGAGAATTACATGTCATCTTGAAACAGTTAAATTGTACGCTATAAATATAAAGCAAATAAAATAGATAAAACACAAATTTATAAAGTAAATGGAATATAAATGATCAATATAGTGCGACTTGTCATGACTCATTGTACTTGATTAAAGATTGTACCTTCAACCAAATCGCTTACGATTCCGTTTTTCTATTACAGATTTCGAATAGACAACACAGATCACATAATCGATGTGAACAAGAACAACGCAGCGTTCGAGTACGATCAGGTCAATATAATATGTCCTGTGTACCAATCGGACATGATTGATAACGAGACTGAGAAGTACATCATCTACAATGTAAGTGAATATTTCTTTTAACATTTATAAGACCTATAACACGTAATGGAATTTTATACCAGTTGACTGCGGCGAAGATAACCACACGAGGATGCCCATTTCCACGTAGATAACAAAATACAGCGTGATGTCTATGACAACAGCAAACATTTTAAGCATAAAAAAATTGTCGATCAGTGTCTGCTAATGTTTAGACAGCTGCCGCTACTTGAAACTGGCTGTTTAACCCGCTTCTATTATATCCTCGAAACGACATCCGCTCTTCGACAAGCGTACCGGGCTACTTGAGATGTAGATTTACTAATAAGTTGAAAGAAATATTACTTCTACCGGTAGAAGTAATATTTCTTTCAACTTTGGACAACTTACAACAATCTTACGGTGTCTTTCTCCATCTTGGATTCGTTCAAAAAGACGGAAACCATCATTTCCGATCTTTCTATTGCCTTCAATCGATCTAAAATTTAATCGGTCCAACATATCAGTCTTCACTCTTGCCACGGATTTTTATCGAATAATTATCACGGTTTATAAAACTATTCCGCAAAGTGAGCTCGACCGCTGCTGATGCAGGAAGAAGTCTGATATCGCGCGCCCTCGAAACCCTCCAAACTTCCGCTCACTCGAGAACCACAACTGCGGGAAATTCCCGGCTTTCCCGGATGTAACTATCAAACATTCCAGTGGCGTCCGCCCACTCCTTAGCGAAACCTCTCGAAGACCATTCCCTACGTTCACCGTGGTCGTCGACGGTGACCTAATCGCTTCGGTCCACTCGATTGTCCCTCCACCCTCCGTCATCCGTCGTCCCATTGTCTCGTTGTCGTTTTTTCCCGCGCAACGATTAGCCCCGACAATGAAGCTCTTTTCTCCTCTTCACGAGAACGGGAATCGTTCCGCGCGAGTGGGAGGGGGGGGGGGGG